CATAGTTCATAATTCATATTCTTGTTCATAGTGGGGATAAGCCTTAACTGACATAGACCATATGAGCTTAACATGGAATCCGGTATTACCTACACCGAAAAGGGTTGTCCTACTTGCCTAAGGTAAGACCATGGTTTGTTAGCTTTAGGTGGATCCACTAGCTAAATATCCTACAGGGGCACGTAGTTTATGGGATAAAGAGATTGTTACTAGAAACTCGGACTTACTTAACGGGGGAGCTTCCATCTAATGAGATTGCTTTTAGAAACTCGGCCTTACTTAATGGGAGAGATTCCATCTCATATTCAATATCTACTCGGTGCTAAGAATTTATCCCATGGAGTACTTATTAAGTCATAACTTGTTTCATTAGGATAGCTCATTAGATCATGCGTGAGAATAACCTTTCACCATCCATGTCTACATGTAACATTAGATTCAATTAGGTGAGAAAGCCTTTCAACCTAGAATCTGCAGTATGTGAGAAAACCTTTCACATTTTGTTCATTATATATTTATGAGAATAACCTTTCAATCAACACAAAAACATCATCATAATCATAGACACTTCACTCTCAAAGTGTTCTTAAAGAATATACATAAATCTCATAATCATGCATAATTCTCATACTTTTCCCTTCAAGGACCATAAATCATATTCAATCAATACATATAGAATTACTACATTAGACATGGATAGTAACATGATTCAAATAGTTCAATTACTACAAGCATAATCTCTTACTATCCTTTTTTCATCAATTCACCCACATCACAAAGTCATAAATATGGAATATGGGGATTTCATGGATTCATGGGAGATTTCATCATAAAAACAATAATAATAATCAATTCAATCATAATATAAGATAATTAAATCATTAAAATTGTTTTTCGAAAGAATCCATGACTTGGAGTCAAACCCTAGGTTTTGGAGAATTTCTATATATGAAATTATGTTTTGGAGGGACTCCATGGATGAATTATATCCATGGATCAGGATCTACCATACCTTAGCTATGAATCTTCAAATAAATTGTGTAGAAAAGCTTGATCCTTCAAACCCTAGCTTCAACTTTCTTCTTCTTCTTCCTTGGAGTTCTAGAAAGAAGATTTTGGCAGAAAGTTGGTTTTTCATTTGGGATTTAGAATTATGACAAAAGATGACTAAATGTAGGGGTCTTAAAACAATATATAGTTAGTCTAATTTAGTGTAAAATGACGTCACTTAGTATTAATTAAAATGGGAAACCCCAAAGTGCCCATAAGTGCAACTGCCAAAAGGCGGATTTCCAGGCCCACCCACGACCCATCACAGACGGACCGTGGTTGAACCCATGGCCCGTGCTAGTAAATGTGGTATAGGGTTCAGAGGCCTGTTTTCTAAGGCCTTGTTCCACGGATGCCTACCCACAAGGTGTAGGAAGACCTACGGGGTGTGGGTTGCCCTCGTGGGTCACTGCCCAGGCAGCCTCCTTAGGGTCCTCCCACTACACCATTTTAGGACTACGGCCACCCCAGTAAAGTGTAGCCTAAACTAGCAAAAAGTGTGGCCTTTGATAAAAGGCTACACTTTTAGACTTTAAGCAACACTTTTTAGGGGGTGGCCTAAAGAAGCGTAACCTTTGACATTAGGTAACACTTTTTAAATGTTGTCATCACAGCTACACTTATAAAGCGTAGCCAAAGAGGTATAAGGGAATGCTTTGTAGTGATGCATTAGCGACACCTTTTTCTTATCATACTACACTTAAAAGCGTTGCCTTTGCTTTGTTACTGGTCACACTTAAAAAGTGTTGCCTTCTATATCTCATCTAGAGCAACACTTATAAAGTGTAACTTTTCTTATGTACAAGTTAACATTGGACGTCCTACAGCAACACTTTTGAAGTGTGGCAATGTTGTGTAGAATTTTGTAGCCACAATTTTTTATTTTTAAGAATAATAATTTTTATTTGCATATATTCAATAATCACATAATTGAATATACAAGTGACCTAAAGCACAAAATTAACTAATAATTAAATCGAAGCTATATATTTCAAATAAACTTCGAGAAACGTGTCTGTACAACCAATACTTAGAAAGTGATTGCTTAAAGATCCCTACTATCAATAAATTCCACAAAACAAAATGCATTCAAACATATATGACAATAGTACAAAAACTCTTGATCGTTCACTACAATAGATCGAGTTTACTTCTGGCCACAATTCAAATTCAATTACCGGCATTTTCCTGCACATTCAAAATAAAATAATTAGTTAGTGAAATAAATCATGTATTTAATATGCTTAAATTCACAGTAAGCCAAACCAATTCATAAATAGGAATGATGAAAAAAGAGAAAGGTCCGAAAAATTTTACTATGTATGAGGTACAACTAGTACAAGTTCTATGATGATATTATTTTATTAATTTATATTTTGACCTGGGAACCCATGTTCTATTTTTCTTCTTTGCCTTTTATTGGCTTCTCTTTCATGCCCTTTTCTTTCCTTTTTTTTCTTCTTATTTTCTTTTTTTTTTATCCCTTCAAGCTGCATACAGATGCGAAATATAATTTTAAGTGCATTTCCTCGCAACATGAGGCTTCCTGATCCATCAAGTCCCAACTTAAAGGTAATTAGTTTTGTGAATCTTATTCACATTTTTCTTTACTATGGTGCTCTTTTGTCCTTTAGTATTTTTAGCAGTGTGTGAATTAAAACCATAATTTTATGATCAATCATAGAGTACATGGTGTTGTTCAATTGTCAAGGTAACACTGAAGTGGACCACAAAGAACATGGTGTTGTTGCAGAATATTTTAGTAAAATGAGATGGGCATCTATAATGTGAAGAAACTTTTATGCCTTAGTTTAGTTGAAATGCTAGGCTAGATGTGTAGATCCATTACCCACCGAGTTCTAAAAACCTGGCTTCGTTGACCCACCGGAATTTCTTGGTATAAAAATATTAATGTAAATGCAAGGGAGTAGGGACAGGCTTTTAAAAAGAGTATTTGATGTGGCTTGCTCAACAATATTCATATGTGTTATTTATGCAGTATGGAAATAGCGAAACTTCTTACTGTGGAAGGTCAGACAAAGGTTGGAGGTACTATTGTTTGTGTTTCTGGGGCAATTTTAATGGTTGTTTTCCGTGGCCCAGTGGTGTTTGTAGACAGCACAGTGGACTTCACAGCACAAATTGAGATAAGTGGTAAGGTTCAACCAGAGCCTACTGGATGGCTATTGTCTAGCTTTCTAGAGTTGGGATTTGATAATTGGCACCTCGGCGTCTTATGTTTAATAGGAAACTATATGTGCATGGCAGCATACTTTTCTTCTACCTGATCCATCAACTCCTAACAATCTACTGTTTGTAGAAGTTCAGCTGAAGCTGAATACAGAAGTATAGCCACAACTGCAACTGAAGTTATTTGGATGATAGGTCTGATGAATAATGTAGGTATTAAGGTGCAGAAACCTATAGAGGCGTGTACAGATAGTAAAGCAGCAATCTTGTACAAGGGATTATTTGTACCAAGTACACTCCAACATAGGAACAACCAGCTGACATGTTAACCAAAGGACTGACCAAGGTTCAACATCAAGTTCTCAGTTCCAAGCTTGGAGTTCAAAACATCTTTTCACTTCCAAGCTTGAGGGGGAGTGTTAATAGTAGTGACTTAAAAGATGGGCAAATATTATAAGTTAGTTAGGATTAGTAACTAACTGTTAGTTAAGTTAGTTATGCCTTACTAGTTTGTTACAAGATTACAAGCTATTGTATATAAATAGATACATGTACATATTGAATACTAAATAAAGAAATATTAAGAACGAAAGCATAGAGAGTTTAACTCTAGCAAGATTCAGCTTGTTTAAAGACTACTTCATCTTCTTCCTATTCTCTATTACTTCTTCTTACTTTCATTGTTCTTCTTCTTCTTCCCCCTAATTCTAAGATTCATAAAACTAAAACTACTCCCCTACCCCAGAACCCCCTTGTTAATTGTTTGGATGAGGCTGTTGAAGTTATTGGAGGGTTGGAAAGAGGGTATCAGGAGAACACAACTAATTTACAGGATGGGGTATCCAAAGTGGGGAATATGTCCCATGCTGGGCATGAGAACACTCAGATTGACCATAGTCTAGACCATAGAACCCTTGCTACCCCTCAGCATCACATTCAGAATAAACATCAAGTTCCAAACAGGTCTTAGATTAATGCTACAAGTCAGGGTCAAGTGCAGAAAATTCAGGACAACAATGATAATATTTCAGGGAGGCAAGTTCTTATTACTCCTACCAGTGAAACAAAGATGAAGGATCATCCAGACCCTACATGTGATAACAGTCAGCAGAATGGGAAAGATAATGATCAGACTCCTTCCAACAACAAATCAAAAGGTAAACCAACCAAGAAAACTAAAACCATCTCTCACAATAACCATCACAGTTCAAAGCAGTAAAACAACAGGGGAAAAAAGTACACAACTACAACCCAAAATCACTAGAGTCCTCCTTCAACACAATACAACGCTCATACAACTAAAAATATAAAAAAAAATAGGTATAGAAGCTGAAAGGAGACAATGAGTGACAAAAACAAAGTACAGACTGAACTTTCAAATATTCAAGATAGTAAAATAAGTTCAGAACTTCTTTACCAAGAACACCAGCTCAACTAGAAGAAAACCAATATGAAGACTATTAACAGAGAATGTGAAATACAAAATACCTTTTGAAGAACCGAATCATGAGCTGACCCTGAAGAATGTGGAAGATTTGTGCCTCTTACAGCTTGTGCGCTACTTGCATCAACAGGTGAAGCAAGGTTAGATCCAACACACCCTGGTATATCTTGAAAATTCAATCCAGGGTTGTTTTGCAACAATTGAGTGAATAAATGTCGCATTTCTTCTCTCAATTCTTCCTTTAGAGAAGTGATTTGATTGGCATTCTTTTCTTTTAGATTTTTAATTTCCTCATCTTTCTTCAAAGAAGTTGTTGTCACTGATCTACCATAGCACCTAAGTCGACCAGGCTGCTCCTTTCCAAACACTGCCCTAAATGCATCATCAGCTGTTTCCCCAGAATTTTGGCGATTCTGAAGTTCAGCCTGTTGAATAAAATTGGCATCCATAGTGAACTGTAAGTACTATTTCATTTCCAATCCTATGATATCGATCAAGAACTAAAAAAAATTAACAATTTTTCCTAGCAAACAATTCAGCGACATCAACAAAGAATTGATATCTCCTCGCACTTGCATAAGAAGAAGAAAAAGAAGAAGACATACGTGATAAAATTAAATGGAGTCAAACTCCCCACAATATATGAATTTTAAGTTTGAATCAAATTCACTACTAATCTCTTTTAAAAACTTACTATTGCAACTTGGGTATCAGCCTGGATTTCCTTTCCCGTCTTGGTATGAGTTGCAATAAACATTTCAGGCTTTGATGGTTCTTCGTTGTTGTGTTTGGCTGCACGCTACAGATTATATCAAAAGAAATTAAAAAAACAACAATATGTTCTAATAAAGTATAAAAAAATGAAATTCATATTTTTGAAGAAATGTCAGCTAAGTATTACCAATGCCACGCGTACTCTTGCAAAATTAATAGGTCCCATTCGATGCGTCCACTTTTGTTTTTTCCTGTTTTGAAAATTCATCTCGCATATGGCCTATTATTAAATAAAAAGAGATAATTGAATTGATAAATCAAAAAAAAAAAAAAAAAAAGAATAGATATGATGCAAACTATGTCGATGAGTAGAAATGCACTATTTTAGCGTTACTTGAACAGTTGGGTGTTTCCAATACTCGATCAGCTGGTGGAATTGATTATTTGGAATGCCAACAGGACGTTTTGCTAGCATATCCTCAAGGGTACTGTTTTTATCAAAAAAATTCTCTTTAATTTTTTGTTTGTGTCGCCTCCAAGCATCACGAAGACCAGTCATCACCCACTTCTTTCCTTCTACTGGAATTAGAAATTTGGACTATGCAAAATAAAATATAGTTAGCTTCAGTAAATAAAAACAAATAATAAAATATGCAATCTCAAAAGTGATTGTTTTTACATTGATATATTCCCACATGCGCTTTTTAGTATCTTTTGGCACCGCATGCCAACTAGTGTACATCAAGCTGATGAATCTAGGATTCCTTGCAATTGTTCCTATAAAGTTGCTTAATTCTGACACTATCTTATTAGTTGGTCCCATTGCTTGTCCTTTATCAAATGTCACCTCCTTTCTTTCTTCCAAAGTTCTTGCGTGAATATCCTTACATGTTATTTATCCTCGAACTTTTTTTGGCTTCGATATTTCTAGATTGATGTAACAAAAAGGAAATAAGATAATTCTTTTATAACGAGTAATAAATCTTACAAAGTTTAACACATACCTTTTGTACTACAATCAATGTCAATTTCCTCTTCTTAAGACATACCTTTTGTACTACAATCAATGTCAAGTTCCTCTTCTATATCACAGTCATCTCCACCGAGTTCTTCTTGATCCACAAGATCATCCAATCCTTTGTTGTGTTCATTAATAATAGGAGCATGCATAAATTCGACATCAGCTATTGTGTGGTTATCACGTTTTGTTTCATCATCTATGCGTATCCCTTGATTATTCTGAAACTGATCAAGACTATTAGCTGGTATGATCGACTTCCTCTTTACCTGCTTGCAATTTGGTAGATCGTGAATATCATGTTCATTGTCGGACCGACTTCCTCTTCACCTGTTTGAAGTTCAGTAGATCCTCAATATCATGTTGTACCTCTCCATTACCTAGTGTTGTTCCAGTCACATGTACTGAAGCAGTAACACCTTCCTTGAATGACGTTTGGAACCTAGAGTTATTCATAGGAAGTTTAATTCCTTTCTCTTGAATGGACTCTCCAGATTGAAATAACCTCTGTTTAGTTTGTCATTTTCCTGCAATCATATGTGAGGTTCTAAGCTCTTCCCTTGAAGACGATTGCATTACTGATTTGTGCCCAAGCAATTTACTCTTTCCTTGTTGTGGAATGAAATCCTCAGAATTCTTTCTTTTATGTGGTATTGGTGCCTGCTCTTTCTTAACTCTATCATTGCGTTCATTTGCAAGTTGTTCTCTCTTAATCTTGAATTTGTTGGCCAATTCAGCACTTGATCGGTATTGCATATCAAAATCCAGATTCTTCAACGGACTTTGAGCTTTGTTTGGATTCGAATCCTTTTTCTTTAGTATTGCTGATTGATTCATTCTTCTCGCTTTGGTTTAATCTCTTCGATTTCTTTCCCTGTAGTAAGTAAACCTACAAAATAATAAGGTTCTTTAAGTTAAAGAAGTAGCAGCAATATAATTTTGATATAAGGTTGGCAGATGACTATAGGCAACATTGCTTGGAATTATATTGATGAAGTAAAAAAATGTTAAAACACACTGCTACCAGAACTTTACTACATATACTGATTTATAGCAACTTTTTAGCATAGTCATTAGTACTCCTGGATCCATTCTGACGACTCCTAGTAGATGGTGGTACATTAGTGTTCAAGCCATATGTGAAGGTTCCTTGAGCTTGCATTTCAGTACCTACATAATACGTTTGCACATCTATCACATCATATAATGCCCAGATGCCTCACTATAAGTTTTTTTCTTAGACTTGAAGTCAGGTGGATAGCTTATTACTTTGAAACATTGTCCTTCCTATGTCCTGTGCATCTGCAGAACTCACACACCAACTCTTTCTAGAATTTCCAACTCTTTAGAAGTTATATAAAAGCTCAACTCTTTCCAGAATTTCCAGCACTGTATTATAGCATATTGCAACAGCTATATAAGAGTAATTGATAATAGCAGATTGCAGCAGCTGAGTTTCCAGAATTTCCAGCACTGTACAATATTGCAGCAGCTGAGTTTCCAGAGTTTCCAGAGTTTCCAAAATTTCCAGTACTGTATAATATTGCAACAGCTAAGTTTCCAGAATTTCCAGTACTATATAATATTGCAGCAGCTGAGTTTTCAAAGTTTCCAGAATTTCCAGAACTTCCAGCACTGTATATAAACTGATTCTATTACCTGTACAGACACAATATCCTAGCAGGGAAGCTGGAGCCCAACTAAACTGATTCTATAAATTCAAAGAAAATCAGGACCTAGACAAACTATTTTTTATCAAATTGAACATTAGAACTTGAAGCCTCATAGCATCAGATAGCATTTGAGAACAATTAGACGGAGATATACAACGACTAAGTTAAAAGATGCTCAAAAGAGAACTGAGCCACACTTGGAGAGAAAGGTAAAAAACCAAATTTTACAACCCCATTTCAAGAACCCAGAACACATAGCAGACACACTTAAAATCGCGACTGAATGAACTACAGACCATCTTGAACAAACTAAAAGGAGACTCAGTTAACTTTAAGAAATCATATCAAATCATATCAACTAAGAAACTGATACAAACTAGCAACTCACTATTTCAGTCATAACAACACATAACACTCTTGGTCTGAAACAAACAAGGAAAAATTAAAGGCAAATAGTTGTACCTCTCTCGGAGCAACGAACTCAGGACAGCGACAAAACCAAGAGCGACTTCAAATTGCAGAGCTCACTGTTCTGCCTCTAATGCCTACTGCCTGATAATAAAAGGAGACAAATAAGTATATAAATAACAAACAGCCAAATAAAACAATATTCAGCTAGAAGTACAGGTTCCTCAATAAAATAATAATCAGATAAGAAGCTAACATAAATTACTTAACCAAACAACAATTGGGCGCATGAAAAAATCCAACAGAATACTTAAACATTGTAGCGATCTAATCTTCAATTCCACATATTAGATATCTTAATGTGTTCGTACAAAAAAAACAATTAAATTACAAAATAGTAAGTGAGCACTATATGGTCATCACAAAAATAATGAAACTCATGGTGCCTCATCTTCAAACTCATCTTCATACTCATTTTCAGACTCATCTTCATACTCATTTTCAGACTCGTCTTCAAATTCATCTGCAGACTCATCTTCAAACTCCTCTTCATACTCGACTTCAAGTTATTGAGTAACAAATTCCTCCAAAGGCACATCAATAATTGTTTCTGGTACATCAGTCCTTGTTAAAGAGTACTTCACCATTATCTTTTGTTATAGATGGTCCCATCAAATGTTCAGATGGCTCGTTTTCATAACCTTGTGGGAGATTAGATTCAACTTCATCACTCATGTTAAACAAGTTACATCAATAATTGTTTCTGGTACATCAGTCCTTGTTAAAGAGTACTTCACCATTATCTTTTGTTATAGATGGTCCCATCAAATGTTCAGATGGCTCGTTTTCATAACCTTGTGGGAGATTAGATTCAACTTCATCACTCATGTTAAACAAGTTTCTCAGAACAGTCTTCATAACATAATGTCTATCTTGATCATATGGATCTTGCACATAAAAGCATTGGTGTACTTGACATCCAAGCACAAAAGGCTCTTCCTGAGAGCATCTCTTGTTAGAATAGACATAAGTAAGACCATAGCATCATTTCAACCTCATACCAATCAACACTTAAAATAGAACAACCTTAAAATGACCATAATAGTCTAATTCAACAATATCAACTATTCTGCCATAATAAGTCAAATCTGCAGCAATCAAATTTTTCTCCTTTGAGCTTGCAAAGCTTGTAGTTGAGGCAACTAGTGTAACACCACTATTTTGTGTTTTACGCCTTGCATCACACTGCCTAACATGGAATCTATATCCATTGATGAGATACCCAAAATATCTTTTTGTCAACGGAATTTGGTCCTCTAGACAATTGTTTTATCAAATCAGGCACATCCTCTTACAAAGAACGAGTTTCAAACCATTGAGAGAAGTTTTGACAATGATTCTTGGCCTTGTTACATTTAGATCTTCGTGGCTGATTATTAACCTCTTGCGCATTCTCTCTACACAACATGTACTTTTTTTTGTTAAAATAATAAATAAAATAAGTTAAAATTAATTATACAAAAAGAATACTATATTCAAATTAAGGTACCTAATATATTTTTGTAACCTCGTCACAATTTCCCAATAAGTATGCATGTGCCTGACTTAGTGACTTGTTATCTAAAATGAATGGATCAGTTTTCTTTGCTCCTAAAGGAACTCCTTTGTTAGGAAACAAACTCACTAGTTTCTGCATCACTTGGGTCACATTCATCATTATTTCGGGCTCTTCTGTTAAATCTGTTATGCACACCACCATGCAGATATTTAGAGAATAAATTTATACAATTTATTTCCACTCGTGTCTCTGCTATGCAATCTTCGTGATAACGTCTGTTGTGGATGTATGATTTGAATGTACCCATTTCTCTTTCAGTGGAATACATCCATCGATTTTGAACTGGACCTCCTAATCTCACTTCA